TAACAGTTTCAGAGTTTCAGGCTTCGCATTGAGGTCTTTGATCCATGTGGGGTAGACTTTTGTGCAAGGAGAAAGATAGGGGTTTAGTTTCATTCTTCTACAGGTGGAGATCCAGTTTTGCCAGCACCATTTGCCAATCATGCTGTCTTTCCTCCAGTGAATGTTCTTGGCCCCTCTGTCAAATATCAGGTGACTAAAATTGCATGTACTCATATTTGGGCCTTCAATTTTGTTCCATTGATGTAGAGGTCTATTTTTGTGCAAGTACCATGTTGTTTTTATGACTATAGCTCTGTAATACAGTTTAATATCTGGTATAATAATCCCCCCTGCATTCATTGTTCTTAGTGCTCAGGTTTGCTTTGGCTATCCGAGGTCTTTGTGTTTCCTTATGAATTTAAGGGTGGTGTTTTTATTAATTGTATAAATTGCTTTTGGTAGGATGACCATTTTCCAAATATTAATTCTTCCAATCCATGAGCAAGTGAAGCCATTCCATCTTCTGATGTCTTCCTTATCTCTTTCTTTAAAGATTTAAATTTTTCATTGTAGACGTATTTAATGTCTTTGGTAAGGTTTATTCCAAGATTTTTTTTGCAGCTATTGTGAAAGGGAGTGTTTCCATGTGCTCTTTCTCTGATTGCTTGTTATTGATATATAGAAAGTCTACAGACTTTTGTAGATTAATTTTGTAACCTGCCACTTTACTGAACATGTTAATAATTTCTAGGAGTTTTCTGGTGGAATTTTTGGGGTGTCTTAGGTATGATATCATCTGCAAAAAGGGATAATTTGATCTCTTCTTTTCCAATTAGTACCCCTTTAATTTCTTTCTCTTATTGCTCTTGCAAGAGTTTCAAGCACTATGTTAAAAAGGAGTGGAGATAGTGGACAGCCTTACCTGGTTGCTGATTTTAATGGGAATACTTAGAATGATGCCTGTGGGTTTGTCGTATATGGCTTTAATTATGTTGAGGTATGTTCCTTCCAGTCCAATTCCCTCTAGGACTTTGAACATAAATGCATGTTGAATTTTGTCAAAGGCCTTCTCTGCATCTATTGAGATGACCATGTGGTTCTTGTCTTTGAGTCCATTTATATGATTTGTGATGTTTTATTTTTTTACAGACTTATTAAATATAATGTGTGTTCCCCAAATGCTCTTGGGTGTAGATCATCTACATCTGGTCAACCTACCAGGTGTCACACTCTTAAAGAAAACTCTTAAAACCGATTCTCCCTCTCCCACAGCTATTGATTGCTAATAGATCTTCAGCCAGGGCTGTAGCTTCTTGTCCACCACCCCATCTATGTTGGATCTTTGTCTGGCTTGAATTTTCACAGGTTTTATGCATGCTGCCCTAAGTGTTGTGAATTCATATGTGCAACTGCCCTATGGTGTCTAACTCTCTAGTCTTAGAACCAGTCTTAATCATACCATGATTACTATGAACTGTCTTGAACATCATGTCCCCTTTCATATGTATCAAGAGGCTAGGGAGGACTCAGTTGATAATGTGCCTGCTGTACAAGCAAAGGACCTGAGTGTGGATCCTCAGCTCCTGCATACAAGCAGCCATGTTAGTATACGTTTTTAATTCACGTGTGTGTGTGTGTGTGTGTGTGTGTGTGTGTGTGTGTGTGTGTGTGTGTAGGATAGAGCAGAGACAGGCAGATTTCTGGAGATCATTGGCCAGCCAGCCTTGTGAAATCCTTGTGCTTCATTTTCATTGAGGGGCCTTGCCTCAAAAAATAAGATGGAGGAAAACATCAGATGTTTACCCTGGCCCCCACCCCTATGAGCACACACACCCAAACACGTATGTGATACATCCTCTTGAACACATACATGTAACACACACACACACACACACACGCACGCACGCACGCACGCACACACCCCTTATATTGAGCATTGGGTTCTGGGTTGCAAAAGATGATTTATTTTGTACCTCTCTTAAAGTCTTAGTCTACCAGTTCAACAAAAAATACACACAAGTGCTAACTGTTCCCTTCCTCTAATGGCTCTAAAATGCTGTCATAGGGAATGAAATCCTCCTTATGAACTGCTGCATGGCAGATAGGTGGCCTCATGTCATATACCCACAAGACTGACTGCTTCTAGGTCCTCTGAATTCTGGTGTAAATCTGAATCCCTTGAAATTAGAGGAAAATCTTAGGTCAAATCAGAGCTACCAATCAGACTCCTATCAAGTTAGCCTTAGGAGTGAGTGGGCCACACTCCAACTGTAGCCACACAGGAATGCCAGGCTAAGACCCATTCAGGCAGCTGAAAGACATAAACTTAAACATGACGCCACTGTCTGTCTCTCTCCAGGACTGAAACAGATTGGAGAGGGTATTCTTTGCTAATGTCATCCCCAAAGCTGGTGTTGCATCCTTATAGCACTATGGGAACTTCTGTGTCTTGATGTACCCCAAACCGCTTAGCCTCTAGTTCAGGTATACTATGAAAATATCAGTGAAGACAAGAGATATTTATGTGAACACATTTGTATTGAAATACAGCCACAGAATGTTGTTACTAGAGAAGAACAAGGTCTCTCAATATATAGTTTGATGCCAGCTGTATGGAAAATGCATGTGTGTTTAAACATAGAAATAGCTGAAAGACACAAAATAGTAACAAATATTTTTAAGTAGGAAATTTTGCTTTATGTCCCCAAATAACCATGTATTAGTAGTTATGGCAAGTAAGTATATATGACTTTATAATATTTTCAAAGGTATTACCACATTGGAAAGAAATATGTCCTAAAGTATTTTTGCTACTAGACATTATACATCATTTTCCCTCTCTTTGTAATTTTCCTTGCTCAGTGTCATCTATTACACGTTTTGCCAAAAATGAATAATTATAGAACACAGAATAAGTGAGATTAACATGACCAAGGACAGAGTGACAGGGATAGTTAGTTGGCTGGTCACCAGATTTCCCCACTTAGGGCCAAGCCTTTGGGAAGCACATGTTTTCTGGGCTCTGTGGCTGTGTGGACACTGCATCGAGGGTCTCTCAGGCAGAGGGGCCCTGCCAGGCTCCCAAGGCTGAAGTACAAAGTGAACCATGGGATTTAGACTCATGGGTTGAATTTCTATCCATGCTTATGTCTGGATGTATCCAAAGAAGCTGGAAATTAGTGAACTCGAAAGAACTGGTTTTTGTTGCTTCTGCTGCTCTTCTAGGAAACGCAGAGCACATGTACCCAACTTGGAAACTGGCAGCTTCACTAGTTTGAGAATCACTCGTCCCCTGTCCCCTTGGGCTCCTCTGTGGTTCTTTAGCACCAACAGCATTTTAAACGATGCTTCTCCAACTTACCACATATTGTAATCACCAAGGGATATTTGTTAAACATGCAGATTCCTGGCTCCCGTCTCAGACCTGGAATGTTTACATATTTCCCAAGTGAAATAAATGATGTAGGTAGTTCTGAGATTAGAGCATTTAAAGGGTTCACCAGACACCATTGGTTTGATGCATAGTCTCAGGATTTATTGGAAAATTGAGAATGGCCTATAACTAAAGGTAGAATCTCTACCTCTTGACTTTAAGTATCTTCTCTAGATAGCTTTGTTCAATGGAATGATACAAGAGGCTGGACCTTCCCTCTCTTATTCCATCACCATCAGAACCATATGCATAGGCTCAGTTGCAGAAGTGAATTAGAGGTGCATACAGCATGTGCCTGGCCTTGAGCAGAGCCCTTAGCCAACAGAGGTGAGCCCAGCTGAATGCTATAAAGACTCGCATACACTGAGCTTTTGGGTAGTTTTATTGTGTAGCTACAGATGGCTGATATATCTGAATAGTTTGTTAATATGCAGACCCTGAAATTTATTTAGTTCAGTAGGAGTTTAAAAATATGTGTGCAGGAGCAGGGTGTGATAGCACACGTTTACTCCCATCGCTGGAGGGGCAGAAGCAGGCAGGTCTTTGTGAGATTGGGGCCAGCCAAGTCTACATAATAAGTACCAGGCCAACTGGAAGACCTGGGAGACCCTCTCAAAAAACTAAACTAAAAAAATGTGTCAGAGCTGAGAAGATTGCTCAATGGGCAAAGCACTTGCCATGCAAGCATGAGGCTCTGAATTTGGGTTCCCAGACTCACACAAACCTGGATGCAGTACTGTGCATCTGTAATATTAGTGCTCTTACAGTGAGATGGGGGATAGAGACAGAAGAATGTGTAGAAGTTCTTGGGCCCACTAGCCAGGCATATACAGTGGTGAACAGCAGGAGACTCTGACTTACGTAAAGTGGAAGGCAAGGATTGATATGAGGTTGTTTTCTCATCTCTTGACATATGATGTGGCATGTGCTGCACCTGCACTCCTACATATGAACACACACACACACACAGAGACACGCACACACACACACACACAACATAGCATATATACATACAGCTACTTTGTAGAAAGAATAAACTGCTATGAAATGTAAGGCAACATCTTTATTGCATCAAGGTAATAGATCCTTTGGGCTGCATGAAGACATTGGCGAAAGAGTTAGTTCCAAGCTTAAACTAATTCCTTTCCTTTATGAAATTCAGAGTCACTTTCTTGCCCACATTGGAGGAATTGAGAAGTCATCTTTTGGTAAACCCTGTAAGCATTTCACAATCAGTCTCACATCCCATTCATCAATAACAAGCACTTTAAAAGTCCACCTGTCCTCTACGCTTAACAAAGGTCCCATTGATTTTAATGTCAGTGCTCTGGACCACTCTTTAAAACCCCTGTGTTAAACCCAGCCCTTTATCAGTTCAGTGTACACTCATGGAAAATGCCTTGATGTTTCTGAGTCTCAACTTTCTCACATGAAAAGAGGGAATATGCTATAAATGTCCTGTATTATATTTGTGAAGATTAACTAGACAAGAAGAAGCCTAGTTGATAATAGTCTTTTTAATTTTTCTACTCCAGTTTGTCCCCTTCTCAACTCCATTCATCCTCAGGAAGACACCAGTGTGACTGTCTTAGGAAAACATGAATCTCAGGGTCACAGCTTTATTGTATAGATTTTTTTCAACACAGCCATATTACAAACATTGTCAGGGAACATTTACAAGAATAAATAAGATGAACTTGCAGGTGTAAAAAGATGACACTTCACTGTAATGTACAGTCAAAAAATATATCTGATATTCATTGACCTGACATTATTTACCTTCTGCTTTTTCAAGCTAGAATTAGAAAGAAAAAGGAAAAAAAAAAAAGAACATTGACAGCACAGTGCTGGCTTTATTTATTTATTTTTTTGAAGTTGATTTACTTTGTTTTCTCTTCTCACACGTGCTTTATCTATCAAACACCCAAACTGTACAAGTGCAGGCTGTTGGGATTTGTGGCAGAAGTTTCAAATAGTGTGGAGACTTTGGTCTCATGCAATATTTTATGCCCCATGGATATGAAGCATCAGCCTTCTTAGAGTGGAGTGGGCACCTTGTGATAACTCTTTGAGAGCTATGCAGGTATCAGGTAGCCAAGGCAATGGTAGAGTCCACGACTGTACCTTTGATTGGCTACTAGGATATAAAGAAGAAAGAAGATAGAACAGTGATTTTTGAGCCTGATTACAAATATCAGTTAACTTGGGCTAGCCCAAGATCCACTTGATGATGAAATTTATGTATTGGGAGTATAATTAGGTGTCAACTGAGTCACTGGGCTTTTGAAATCTGCTCCAATAGGTCCTTGAGTGGGGAGTTGGGGTTGAATTAACCTCTGGAGAGCATGTGTGATAAGTGAAGCCCAGTTCTGAGTCCTGCTTGGATCTTTATTGGTTCTGGCTATCATTGAGGGCCTTGATGGCCAGTGGGTCTGGGTGATGGGCTACTGTCCTCAGGGATGCCAGGAAGCATTAAATCTATGGCAAAGCAGCTGCTCTGTGAGTCTGGGTGTTTGATGATAACCAGCCTGGCTGAGGCCAGGATATGTGACTAGAGCAACATTTTGGCTGCTATAGGCAGAAGACTTGGGTGGAGAGCAGGGGCTACCTGCTTGCAAACCAAGCATGGCCTGCTTAGCTTGTGCTTTGCTGGTATAAGTCCCAACATGACTCCCGCTCTGCAAGGCCTCACTCACCTAAGGTGAAAGTGACCTAAAGGCCATCTCAGCAATGTTTCTTCTTCACTTTTAAGAGATGTTTGGCTTCTGCTGGGAAGCTGCCCTGAAGGGCAGCTATCTTCTCTGACAGAAAACAAGTTCTTTCTTGCAACTACTAAGTTTTGTCATTGGTCCCAGCTCCACTCACAGGAGTAATGAGACTTTCAAACTACGCTTGACCTTGTCCAATAATCTGCTATCCTGTGAAGGTTATGGGACTTAGTCTAGTATTCTGCCTGTCCTTTTAGGAGCTTGACTTTTATCTAGGATAACACCACTCTGCCCACAAAGTCTCTAGGAATTTTACTCACTGAGGAACTGTGAACTATATTATCCTGAGCTTCCAGCTTTTAGACCAATACTTTCCTGCCCAATATTCCAAGGCCCCTAGACATTCATTCTCTGGTCCAACAATGAACCAGGGTTCACATTTTACCATCGAGAGCAGCTCTTGGATACAGAAGGAATCCCTGTAGTTATCCAGTTATCAAAGGCTTTTCTAATAGATCATTTTCTATCCTAATCCTTCCCTATCTTCTGTATCAGCCCCAGCTGACCACCACTAAGCTCTGAGTTTGGTGGGATGCCAGGTTTTGGAGGGGCTATCAATGTAGGTAATGACTCTGCCTCTCGGAGACTTAACGTTCATTGGTAGATTTCAGGGGGTGAATGTGGCCCCTTTAACACCCTTTTCTACCTCTTTTGGAAGTTGTCAGGAGATATGCAAGACATGATCTTGACCTCTGAAAGAGAACTGTATAGCCAGTGCTATGCAAAATTCTCTCCTTGGTTACCAAGAAATGGAAAGAAAGAGCTTGTTCGGATATATAGATAAGGCAGAGACATTTCTGCTGTTTCTGAGGATCTGCTCTGTGACTCTAAAATAAATGTGAGAGAAAACTGGACTTAGCTAGACCCACTCTCTCTTCCACTGTCCACACCAACCTTTCTCTACTGTTCAGATAAGGTATGATTTCAAATGTGCTTCCATGCTAGGTAAAGTGAAGGCTCTGTACTTTATAATTTCTAGATATGTATACATGGACATTCTCCAATAGGGAGCCCTTATATGGCAGTATATGAACAAAGCTGACTCTCAGTTGGTCTCTAGTCGAATTTTCCCATTTCTCTACTACACTTGTCTGTGATTTGGAACTGGTCAGAGGTTGAGGAGAGGCTCACACTGATCAATCAATGGGAAAGACAAGTTGGGCTTTGTGGTAACATGACCATCTCTGTTCTGTGTTCTGTTTCATCTTCCTTCAGCTTGGGTTGGTGACTTGTCCCTAGATATCTTGTCTAGTGAAATCTGGTGACCTTACAGCTTAGGATCAACACCCTGTTCATACTTATCCTTGAGTACAGCAGTATCTTCTACAGTATTGAACATGTTTCAGCTTGGGTATATTTCTTTATTTTGTCCCCAGGCAGCAAGATCCAGGGGCATGATCATTTCCTTCAGTGCCTCTAGATCTGGTCGAGTGGTCACTGCTCCAAGGACAGATGGCATGTCAAGTGCTCCTCCCTGGGCTTCCCTTTTGACATGGCCAGCAGTCTTTCTGCACAGCTACCTCTGTGCACCGTACAGGAGTCTACACCATAGCAGAGGGACTCTGGATCCTGATGAGACTCCTTCTGAACCAGCATAGCAACCAGATGGAGGAATAAATAAATATGACTGATCAAAGAGAAAATTATCATCTTCCCCTATGTTCCCAGTCGTTCTTGAAAGTCCTAGTCCATCTCCTGGCCTGCTGTGTCCCAGAAGTGACCACTCAGCTCAACACTCAATAAGCATCCTTCATTCTGAGAATTCATTGAGTTCAGTTTGCTTTCTTTTCCTACCTAAAGCCTTCTAGATCAACCCACTCTAACATGGCCAAAGTGTTTTTTTATGTGTTCCCCTTTTCATGGATTTGGCCTGCTATCCTACTGTCCAGAGTTGGAGGCGCAATTAAAAGAATGATCTCCCCCCTTACCATGGTGTATCGGTCCATAGTAATCTGTCCTTCCTAGTAGTGCCCCTCTAAGGTGCTGTATGCTATAGGAATCCAAAGAGTGTACGTAGCTAAGGTAAAGTGAGGAATGTTTGAGTGTATGAAGTGTGTCCTCAGATTTTCCCACATTAGAAACCACAGGACTCCACTGAGACAATGGGCAACACTCAGTGTACAAGGATTTGCTGAATAAGACCGCATTTAGCGTCTCCTTCTCCTTTAGGATTTTGTGGTTCACTCTTCATCATTTCCTGTGGGGATGTCCTCCTTATTCTAGTCTGTCAGTAGGTACCTTAACTATAAGAAGATGAGACCTTAGTTGAATCTCAGGAACAGTGAGGACAGGATACTCCCACAGCAAAGAATGTGCCCAGGGGAGGGTAAGCTGGTGTTGAGCTTGAGTCTAGAATTGATTTCAGGAAGAAGAAGCATGGCTGGGTACTGTGCTCTCATTTCCTAAGTTCCGTCAGAGAGGTCTGAGCAGATCAAAGCTGCATAAGGTACAGGGCACATTCAAAAATATGTTTATATGGTCATACTTAAACTAATCAGAATAAATTAGTAAATGGAATGCACATATTGCATGCATGTAAAACGTGAGGCTATGAAACAATTTGAAGCTTACCATTCTGTGCTTTGGGTTCTACCAAGATCTACTGAGTAACCAGTTCCACTCTAGTCTCTGCAGTAATCCTTTGGGAAAAAAAATCTCAGATTCCATGATGTAAGATTATTGTCAGAAGCCAGATTATGTCCCGACTTGCTTATATGGACAGGTGACATCTATCTCCAAAGTCTGCTTACCAGTATTGGTGATGGCAAGAATCACAGACACTTCTTAGGGTTGCTCAGACCTACAGTGAGGGCCAACACCAGAAGCAAGTGGCCTCTTCCATTTCCATAGGCCTGCTGTGGTTATTTAGAGACTTACAGTCCACTGGCTGATCTACGATTTTCATACCAGTAAGGATGAAAGATGACAATATTGGGATGTCGCTTTGATCTATGCTAAATCTATCTAGGCCATAAACACATGTAAGTGGGGACAGTTCATGGTGTCTTGTTTGCTTCTTATATATTTTCTCCATAATGATTTCATGTCTACAAATGAAACTTAAAGGAAGGCCTTAGCTAAGTGAGGATATGCTTTTATACCTTTTCTTTTGCTTATGTAAAGATAAGCCTACCCTATAGGTAGGGTAGAGTAAGGAGAGAGCTTGGGAGATTTCCTGGGCAAAAGATGAAATCTAGGGTCGTTGGTCCCATTATCCATCTTATCTGAGCCCTGCTACATATCTTCCATATGAATCTTAAAGATGTCTCTACAAGCCTCACTTTCCTTTTGTCTTCATTTGTCTAAGGCCAGTTCACCATCATGTCTTTTTTGGAGGTTGGTTGAACAGTGTGAAACTATATGGTTGAGATGGCCCTTGATGGGGGCCATCCGCCACCGTGGCCTGAATTCTCCCATCTTCCCTTGAATTCGCTTTTTAATTTCTCACCATTGAAATGATACAAACCCCTGCCATTTTAACCTACCATCTATATCAGCCATTCTTGAGCAGAACGGATTCTAGGATTTGTGTTAAATAGTCCTTACTCTACCCTTACCCTGTTAGAATGAGCTAAGCTCTGAGAAAATAGTATACAACAGGCTGATGTGCTATACCACAGGCTCCTGGAGGCTGGGGAAATCCATTTGGGGTAGAGAGATAGAGAACCATAGGAAGCCACAAGGACCAGTGGGGGCTGGGCCCTGAGGATATGCTCAAACATACCTGGGAAGAGGCTCATAAAAGAGAAGCATAAGTCATGGGGTTCTTTTGCCTGCCTTTGCTTTGAGATGTTTCCTTTTGAACCACCAAAGTGACAGCCTTCCTTGATCAAGTCTGGTGTCCTTGGACTTCGAGACAGCTCCCAAGCTTGTGCCAATGGAAGCTCATTCCCTGGGCTCCTTTCATGTGTTGTCCTAGTGAGCTTGGAGGCCAGGGTTGCTGACCCTGCTCTGTGATAAAGCAGAGACCACAGGGTTCTCACAGGAGCTGAGTCTCATGATCCACTCCATATTTTGTTCCAGCAACAAAATAATGAGCAGCCAGACAAATAGTTAACATATTAAAAGCACACCCTTAAGGGAATGTCTTCACAGTGTCTGATGAAAGGAAAAGAGGCAGTCCTGCTGGTCCAGAGGGAGCCTTATCCAAAACTAAGCTGAGTGCATCACTGCTGCAGAGCTCCAACAGTTTCTTGCTACCTGCAGGGCAACTTCTGTACCCTTTGTGTTTCCTCCCGCCATTACGCCTGTCTTGCTACATTCCAGCTGGGCTGGCCTCCCACCTTCTCCTACCTTTTGTCCCTCCTGATATTTTTTCACTTCTTTTTGCCATTGTGAATGTTGATCCCTTGGCTTGAATTTCTTTGTTTTTCTTATAGTCTATTTGTTGAGACCTAGCTGGAATGGATGTTGTCTAGGAGGCTCTAGGCAGAGTGGCTCGCTCTCATGTCTAGGCGCATTGAACACTTGTGTGCTCTACTATGAATACAGTGTGGCTCAGCTTCCCTAGTACATAGTGGGGCTGAAAGGAAAGATGTCTTAGTGGATTCTGTGTCCCTCATACCCTGTTTGGGGCTAGAACAGCCTTCAAGACAGAGCTCCCCAGATCCCATGCCATTAAGGCTGTCAGATATTATGGCTCAGCCCCTGCTAGAGACCAAGGTAGAGGGGTTTTCCCAGGCTGGCTCCCATGTAGCCTAAGGGAGTATGAGAATTGTTTTTACCCATAAAGAAATTAGATAAGACTAGCTTTCCCAGGGAGCTGGGGGGAATAAGTTAATAAAATATATCTATAGGTTTGGGATACGCAAAAGAAAGGGCATCAGATAGAAAGAATTCAGTTTCTACTCATGGAGTTCTCTGTTCAGAAGTTTCTATCCTTATTTTTCTTCCATAAAATAACTGCTTGAGGAAATATGAGGAAAGTGGCAGGGAGTTTCGTTGCCATCACCTGGTCTTTGGAATCCAGAGTTTCATCACTGAAGAAGGTGCCTGGGTATCCTTAATTGCAAAATGGAGATAACAACCCCTTCTGGGGTGCCAAGGACTATGCGTGATGTCACATGAAAGGCACCAAGCATGGCACCTGGTTTACAGAAGATGCTTAAAAGTGTTGGCTCGCCCATACTTTGAGCAAAACCCAGAGCCTCGGGCCTAATTTCCTTAATGTATTTTGAACCAAAGTATGACTTGGGTCTCCAGTGGCCATTTTCAAAATGGTAGCTGGCTTTCTTCAGGAAAGAGTTCAAATTTGGATAGAAAAATTCTGCATAAACTTGTTGCTCTATCTTCCCTGGAAACAAGGGACCAACTTCCAGAGTGGCTTATCTCTCATGTTCAAAGGTTGTATTATCCCAATCTTGGGACCTTTCAAGGGTATAGACAAGAAATATAATAGACTCAACTCCCATCCTACCTTTTTTTTTTTTAACTTAAGAGAAGAAGATTTTACACCTTCAACTTCTTCCCATAAAGAATATCTTTTTTTCACATATACTTGGGAAAATAATCAAATCCTTTCTGGATCGTCTTTCCCATAAAAAGTACCAGGGTTATGCTGTACAGATCAGTGAGAGCTTTGCCATGGGAGGCTGGCCCCTTCTACCAAGAGGAAGAGGAGCAGCAACATCTCCTGTGGATTCTCCTCCTTCCACGGACTACGGAAAAGCAAAGAAAACCTTTGTTGAAGTATGCTGTGGAGACGGCTGGCTGACTGGTGGATGACAGAGGGTCAAGGCCTGTCTAGAGAAAGCAGTAATGGGCCAATCCCCATGCAGCTAAGGAGGATGGAAAGAGCCTCTGCTGTGATGCATCTAGGGGCCATCCAGTAGTCACACTGATCCAGACTGTCAGGTTTCTGGTGCCAGAGGCCTCTGAAGGAGATTATAGGCTCCCAGTGACTTCCAACATCCCAATCTTTTACAAGAGAACATAGAAGAACTCACATGCCAACCCTCCTAAGGACAGCAAAGGAGGTGCTGACCAAGTTCTCCCTCCCCAACACCTGCACAGTCAGCTTGCCATGAGATTCACAAACTCGGAAAGAACAAAAGCAAGAAGTCTGGGAATCAGAAGTCCAGGGCCTTCCTCGTGGGTGCACTTCTGTGTGGGCCTGATGTGGCTGGTCAGGGTTGGAAGGGAAGCTTGGGCCCCACCAGAGAAGCATCTCCCACAGCTACAAGGGACCTTTCAGAAGTTGCAGAGCCCACTACAGAACATGGAACCATCTTCTCCTTGGAGTTGGGCAGGCATGCCACCTCCGAATCCCCAAGTCCAGTCACTGTCATTCATGGAAAAAGAAGGCCAGCTGCAGTAGCCTCTGGACTCTGGCAGGTTCCCCATCCCATTGCGCTAAAAGGAACTTAGATATTCCAGTGCCACCTCGTATACAAATTTATATTGTGCCTGGGGTGGGGGGGAGAGAGAGAGAGAGAGAGAGAGAGAGAGAGAGAGAGAGAGAGGAAAGAAATGCATTAGATTACAGATGCAGATATTTTGGAGAAAACTTTATCTATAGACACATAAAGCAAAGTAAAAGTTATCTTTATCCCTTATGTGGACATCCTCCAACCTTCTGCCCACGTTTCCCAGAATGCCCAGCCGAGACCATGCCTTTTCAGTTTTACCATGTTGTACACCAGTGCTTCTCAAACTGTACCTTTAGGCAGAACACCCACCATGGATAACTGTTAAAAATGCAGATTCCAATTCAATTTGGAGCAGGGCTCAAGAGTCTGCATTTCTCACAAACTCCCAGGTGATGACTCTCTCGCCAGTCTGTAGTTTACATTTTCTGTAGGATCTCATCACACTTTGAGTGTGTTTAAAGACTCTTATATTAAACTTCCTTGTATCATCCGTCTCCACCGTTGTGCCTGGCCTTATCATCTGGGGCTTTGCTTTCCCACTCTCTACTATCCTTTTTCTACAGAGTCCTAGTTTAATTCTTCATATTGCAAAAATTAGCATAAGTGAATTAGAATAGGCTTGGGCTGAATTGAAAACATAATTCACACTCTACTAGTCTGGAATCCTTCAGTGACATTTTGTTAAGGAGTGAGCAGAAAGTAAAATAAAGTAGGTGTACTAGGATTAATATTTGTATTGCCCTGAAGGAAAGAAAAATTGGTGGGGTTGGAAAGAAACAGGAAAGTAGCAGTGCATGTAAGAGGCGTAGACTATAGGTACTCAGTAAGCTCAGCTGTTGTAGGTATTTCCCATTTGATGTCACTTTTTCAAGTCCAGGGAACTTCAAGACTCTGGATGTTGGAGAACCATTCTTGGAAGCTCACCAGGGTCTCCACCATGTTGGATTTGTTGTTGCGTAGTGTTTTCACAATGTGGAACACATCAATGATATTTTGTTGCTGGATCATCTCACACACGCTACAGATGGCACAGAAGGTTCCGCTGCGGCCTCCCCCATTTCTAAACACAGAAGGAAGAAATGAGTCACGTTTCTGGGTGCCCCCACCCAGAAACCTGTTAATCCTAAAGCTACATTATGGGAGTGAGGAATGGCTGTCCTGAAAGATGTGTGGCCAGGCAATGTTAAGAGCCTTAGCCTGAGCCATGAGTTTTGGGCTGATGTACTCATTGGTGCTATGAATCTTCAGTGACTGTGGTAAAGGTACTTTGTAGACTGAGTGTCAAGTTTTCCATTCATCTAAAATAGATTAGACTTAATGACCTTGAGCATTTAATTAGCTTGATGTTTCCTTAGTTCTATAAGCATGTTACAGACACTTCAAGCACACTGATTTACATTCATAGGATAGGATGATACTATGTCTTTGTATGTGGTGACTGCATCCATGCTCAAAAGAATGCTCTGGGTCTACCTATACATCCAATGAGGACAATGGAGGGCACTAAGTGGGTTTACCAGTATTTCTTCCTGTCTTAAATAACAACGATAATCGATTAGCTTGGAGCCAGCTAGTCCAGACTTTGGACCCAGACTATGGTCCTGGGGTTGGCCTAATATTTTTGAAATACCCGGCCAATGTCACAGCTCTTCTTGTATAAATTTTAAACAGGAGTCTACTGATCTTGAGTATAGGAATGGAGTGCTCTTGGCACAGTCATTTCTCAGTTGTTCCTTCTTTCTAAGCTTCATAAACTATCCTCACGGAAACAACCTTCAAACTCTTGTAAAGATACCTTGAGGAACCTACCTGATTCTGAATGCCTGGGCATGCTACCAAAGGCAGCTAATGATGCCATGTAATGGTCTATACCTAAGGAACATCTGGGCAGAAACTAAGACATGTAGTCAATTTCCCAGATGTTTTATCTACAGGAAACCTAACAACCAGATGTTTCAAGTACAGAAAATTGTCCTCCCTTCACTGGTGGATGCCTGAATCTCAGTGACTATTATGATGGATGCCTTGGGCTCTCAAGGATGCCCAGGTCCCTGTTGGTAGAATGACACCCCTGTGCTGGCTACCTAAGCTAGGTGAGATATAAATCAAAACAAATAAAAACCTCAAGTTAACTAACCTACCAACCAATCAACCCACCAACCAACTGAACAACCCCATGGGTTGGGAAATACGTGAGAGAAGAGGAAGCCTTCCAGAGAAGGAGGGTTCAGTATCTTTTGAAAAAAAAAGAGCACGGGATCCAAGAGGATGAATTGAGAGGACGCACCATGTCAGAGCCTGTGGGACCTTGAAGGGATGGGTGTTGTCCTGTGCTATGAGTGGGGGCATATGAATGCGTGGGAAGGAACTGGAAGGGGTCAGTATTAGTAGGGAACCAGCTGCTGGCTTCTGGGATCTGCCAGCTTGGCATGTCTGACATCACCTATCACCCTGACAAGGTATGACACATGGTATCTTCTTGGATTCCATGCAGATCTGTATCCTGAAGTTTTACAGGAGTCTGTTTTCAGCTCTCAATGTGCCTATAACTTGGTTTAAGCTCTAACTTTCCTGACATGTGTGTGAACTACTTATCTGAAAGAAAGTGAACAATTAGTAAGCTTTTGAAAAGACAACTCATTTTGAGGTCAGTGCAGTATAATTAAAGCCTCCACTGGTTCCTGAAATAATTATTCTGAAAAAAAGACTTTGGTTTAGATTTCCTGCAGCACAATATCTTTAAAGAGAGACGCTCTTAGACATTTTTCTTGGCCGCTTTTCCCCCAAATCATTGATGCTGTAAGAGGTAGGTGATTGTGAGTCAAATATTTATTGTAAGTTTCATACATGTAGATGGCTGTAAGTCTTAGCTTTTCATAGAACCCTCCTCCAAGACTCCATGACTCTTGCTCTCTTAAGGAATTATAGTCCCATTTGCATATTTTCTGCTTTGACATTTAAAAAATCTCTATGTTGGCAGATACATTCTTCTTTTCTGAATACCTCATGCTCAAGCACTGTAGGGTCTAAAAACGATTAACTTCAACATACCAGATGAATAGATGAAGAAACTAAGGGTCACAAAATTAAGTACTTTTCTTGATGTTGTACAGTTTGTCAGCTACAGTCTTCCAAGGTCCTAACCTTTGCCTAGCATAATGACATTGGGGTCCATTATACTGAGCTCTTACTTTTAAGACAGGAAGTAAATTCATCCCAATAACTTGATCCCACTGTATACTTGGGGGTACAAAGTACCTAGGAGTCTGAAAATCCATCTACAACAGTAGTGCTTTCTATGTCCCTGGTCCCACTAAGCCCAGGGTAAGAGATGTCTCAGGAGGTCAACGTAATGGGTAAGTTCAAGGTAACCCCATATTGAACTTTTCCTTCCCTCTTCCTTTTCTCAGAGACAGTGTGTGACGGTACGTTAGCCTGAAGCCCAGTGAATGCAAATCTCAGTTCCTCCTGCAGCATTCTGATCCCCTAACCCATCTACGCTTTCAATTTGCTCACTACAAACTGATTGAAGGATTAAGTTACTGTCATACCTTCCTCTTACTTCTCTTCAGGAAATAACACAGGGGGGTCTGGTCGTTGGGACCCACTATGTCCTGAGCTTTCTTATGCCTAGCAAGAGATACATGCCTCCTTTTGGAGAGTGGGTCTTATTTCTGTGATGAGTGCACCGGGAAGTGGCCTGTCTCTTCTATGCTGTACTTCGGTAATATATGACATACCAACAGTTTAGGAAAACTGGCACCCAGTCCATTAAAGGATTCCAATTCCTTTGACCATATCATTGTTGGATTATAAGGAATGTTAAGATGAGGTACAACTAGACTTGCCTAGGACTGAAGTCTCACATCACGTCACCCCACTGGTGTGGAGACACCTGTACTCACAAGCAGTGGACCACAGTGCGCCCCTCCCGTCCATCATACTGCTCCTGCCACTTCTCCAGTCGTCGGACCACTTTGAGCAAAGAACGCTTGGAGGGGGGTGTGTCCCGATAGGCAGGCCAGCCAATGTACTGGAGGTGCTGAACTATACGGTAACCATCCTGTGGCTGAGAACAGAGAGCTGATTAGGGTAGTTCTGTTAGAGATGCATGGGGATACAAGCCTTCCAGATTCCCTGGGGTCTACAGCAGAGTGGAAGATAGACCGAGTGGGCCTTCAGCCATGCTGTCATGGGCAGAGCATCTCCATACCTAATTCCATACCTTTGTGTACACTATCTTTTCCTCCTGCACCTGGAAAACTTCGGTCAATCTTCAGACCCAATTCAAATGTTCTTTCTTTAGGGATACATTCCCTGGTTCTACCAGCAAGACATCTTTCTCCCCGAAGCTCATACACCAGAATGTATCTCCTGTTTCCACTCAGTAGTGAACTCTGAGGATAGAAGACAGAGTTCCATCCTCTCTGGGGTCTCAGTAGAGACCAATAGTTAGCCACCATTTCGTGGGATACTATTCTACCACCTTCTACTCAGTATTTAGCCAGTAACTACCCTGCTGAAAGAGACTACTTTTCCCTGTCAATGTTTGCAGAAGTGAGGCCAAAGTTTATAGGATCCAATTGAAGGGCGCCAGAGCAGTGTGACACAGTGGGTAAGAATTAATGTCTGGGAAGTTTTGTCTACATGGCCGCTAGTGTGTCAGAAAACAGGCAGATGGCAGGTTGGATGCTGTTCTTTGAATCTGAACCATTGCTGGGTCTGGAGCTGGAATCAGCAAAGACATAACTTCCCCAAGGAAGAGATTATCAGGAGAGAATATCACAGACTCTTGGCTGGCTCAGCAGGATCCTCTCCCAGCAGCTTCCATCTGTTTTGCAAAGGAGGGGCATGGTGAGTAATGGCAGCCCTACACTCACCCGAGCCATGTTACAGATGCGGAATATTCTGTGGATGATGTCCTCATCAATGTCTGCAGAGACAAACTCCACCTGGATGGGACCATAGCACCCGGAAGTCTTCTCAGGCCAGTACTGCATGCAGAGCTGCGGCAAGATAAGAGGTCACGGGAGACCAAGGATAAAGCAGGGGGCACATCAGTGAGTCTTTCACAGCAAGTTTTTCTTATTGCTGGCAGCTCACGTGGCCATAAACATAGCCTTATGCAGTAAATTGGATTTATTTTCCCTGTTGGGGAGCAGGTGCTAATTTTTCTGGTGCTGAAACATCAAACAGGGCCAGGCTTAAACATCTTTGCAATGCTGTGGTTGGAGAGATGGCTCAATGGTTAAGACCACTGGCTGCTCTTGCAGAGGACCTGGGTTTGATTCCCAGCACCCACAGGGCAGCTGACAACTGTCCGTAACTCCAATTCCAAGGCTATCTCACACCTTCATCTGACCTCTGTAGGCATCGCATGACATGGGTGCACTTACACATATGCAAGCAATACACTCACACACGTAAGATAAAAATAATAAAACATTTTAAAAAATCTTTGTGTTTTTGACTTGAAACCATTTGTTAATTTTCTTGACTTCAGTTTTCTCATGTGTAAAATGGGGAGAATGGCATGTACCCTGAAATGTTACTGTCGGGATTACTCTGGGGAAAGGCCAAGTGCAACTGGTTTTCTTTTTATCATGAAACTGTGGCAAACGTATCCCTATTCCATAAGAGGAGTCATCTTGTATTAAGAGATCTTGCTGATAAACTTTCCAAGTTTTCTGGATTTGAGAATTAGAGACTAGCTGAGGAACACAGGCAACAGTTGTCCCTCACTCTAAGACAGTGGTTCTCAGCTGGAGGCCATTTGTCCACATCTGCTAATGTTTGAAGACAGTTTGATTGTCACCCTGAGGAACAGCTATGATCATCTAGTGAGCACAGACTGGGATGCAGCTAAGCACACCATAGTACACAGACTGTCTGCTCTTAAAAGTAATATCACTCTAACACAGTACTGCAGAGATTGATAAGCCCTAGTTTAAGACCATAGTTGTTGGTTTTTAAGTTTATGTCTTCCATCAAGAAGTGAAGATGGATCCCTCATTCTTCTGAGTCTACTGAGCTGCTAGATAACTTTTGTTGGGGTGACTACAGGGTGGGGGAAGGCATGCTTCCCCAAATTCCTGGTCTCAGCATTGACATGGCACTGCCTAGAAATATAGTCTTAGACTCGGGACACACAAAACATTGACAGTTGGGGGGTCACAGGCTTTCTGAGGTCACATCTGCTTGAATAGGAGCTATGTGATAGAAAGGTTACCTAGGAGTTGCTGAGAAGATATAGCCAATGCTTAAAAAGACCCACTAAGGCATTTCCTAGCAGTTCTGGATTGAATGTCTCATGGGTGGGGTTAGCCACAGCCCACATCAAGCTTGTGGACATTGACAGAGGTGGCCCACAAAAGTGTGGTGGCTTCTGTTGAGTCAGAATTTTTCCAGGAGGGGACAATTACACTGCTCTCCTTTGCTAATGGTAAACAGAGAAGTCACCTGGGGAGTCATATGACACAATGCTTTTTATTCTCCCCTTCCTCCAGAACTAGAATGAAGAGGGAAGATCAGGAGGAAGGGGATGCAGGAGGGGAAAATTTGGTCCCCTGCCTTCTTACCTGTGAAAACCCAAAATTCTCACTTAGGGTAGCATCATTTACCTTTAGCAGTGGTCAGCAGGACATGGTCCCAAAATCACACAAAATAAAGTTTTGTAAATATAGTTTTATTGCCCAGAATTCAAATTAAAGTACGGAAATAGTCAATATTTGTGAAGCATCATTTTACCTATACAAAAGAGATCCCAATCGCACCTACCTCTCAGAGTTTTGGGGACGATTCAGAGATAATGAATGCAAAGCTGTTGGTAGTACCTGGCCCATAAAAATGTCTCCGCAGAACAAGATGTTACCTTGTATTGTGTCTACTGGTAGGCTTTTCAGCACTTTAATTTGAATTCTAGTCCACAAAATTCATGCTTTGACCCATATTATACTTTAAAATAAAGGCATAACAAATGATTAAGAGACAATTGTACCCAAAGAGCATATTTAAAGATTTAAGTTGGACATTATGTATAGCACCTTGTTGAAGGCTTGTGGGCCCCTTTATTGCAAACAATGGCTTGTCTATTCTTGCTGTTTTTTCTGCCTGTGTCTACTACATACTGCTCCTTCAGTCTAAAAGGTTCGAACCACTCTTATTTATCTGCAACTCACACTTGAAAATTTTGTTGAGCTATCATTTTGGATTTGCGTCCATTCTGAAAAAGGAGATATTCTTATGATGAGGAACTGCTGCCCCTCACAAGTACTTCAGTTACACATTTCGAGCTGACATTAGGCTTATTCACATGCCTGTGCTGTTCAATCATTTTAAATTCCTTCAAAGGCAGTCTCTTTCTTATTCATCTTTGCATCTGTGTTGCCCGGGAAGCACAAAGCCATGGATATAAACAAGGCATTTGGTAAAAATATTGGCTAACAATTTTCTTCCTAAGTTTGACTTTCTGGTAGGTTTCAGGTATTGTCTAACCCTGGTCAAGTATAATGTGAAAAATTTACCATTACCTATGTTCCTTTCTTGTAAAACTCCCTTTTTCTGCACATAAATTATATTCCATTCCCTTTGGTTTCAGAGCCCTTACTTTAAACCAAGATTGTCTGAGTCTTTGCAGAGGTTATTATGGTCTTGATGAACACAACAGTGCAGACATGTGTGAAGGTTTGGGATATATGTGAAAGCACAAATAAAGGCAAAGCAAGACTTTCACAATCTTGATGATACATAGGCAATAAAAGTAGATATTCATCATAAAAATTAAAAAAGTGCTATTGAAACACAGCTACACTTACTTGCTCATTCGTGTATTATCTGTGACTGCTGCCATTTGGTTGCACGTGCAGAACTCAGTGGTTTTGACGGAGACCTAAGATTCCTATAGTATTTACTATCTGGTCCTTCACACCAATTTTTGCCAACTCTGTCTTTGTTAGGGTTGTTTTGAGGATAAAGGAGATAATTCATGTAAATGAATCATTTAACCCATACTAGACATGGGCTAAACACTTATTTGATATTGCAAAATTATAATTCAATTATTATAAAATGATTGTCATTTTATCATTCACATATTCATTGACTTGTGAAGAGGTTACGTCTGCAAAAGCCCATCATTGACTTATGATAATGCATTTAGAACTGGGGATGTAGGTCACTGGTAGAGCCCATGTCTAGCATGCATGTAGCCCTAAGTTCAACCCTCAGTACTGCAAAAGAATACTGCATTTAGCACACATAACCTACTGACAATCATAGCTCTGCAACCATGTCCTGCAGACTGCAGAGTGCTAGTTGTTTCCCTGCAGGATGCTGCCGGTAACTGGGCCCTCCAGTTTGCTGCCACTGCCCAAGCATCATTAGAGAGTATTATGCATATCATCAACCCAGGAGGACATCCAAATACAAATTTAGAGTATGGTTTCTATCGCATGCATATCACAAAACGTTGTAAAGTAAAAAGCTCTTAGGTTAAATGACCCTTTCATTCTCATTGCCTTGCCTCTCCATCAGGCGTTAAGCAAGCACATTGAGAAAAGAGACGTGAGTGTGGAGGTTGGAGAGGTGGACTGGTCACAGGGGCTTCCATGGCTGGAAAATCCGTGGAGCTGTGCGGTAATGACAAATACACAATTTGAACTTCATTTCTCTTTGCCATTGGCTCTTCTGCCTTGCAACCTTCACAGTAATGGATGACTGGTACGATAAGCATGTGGCTGGCCAGAAAACCTGGAATTAATCACAACTGCCCATTTAAAAAACTAATTGCCTTTATCGCCTACATTGAATTTAGCCTTACCCAGAGTTTGGCTGTGATCCTGACATGGGGAACAAGGATCTGAGGCATCGGAGAGAGTCTATTACCCCCAAGATTTTCAGTCTGAGGAGAATGTGGAATGATTTGTCTCTTTTAATAAGATTTCCAGACCAATTTCTCAAGCTAATAGGCTCTACAAGTGCCTCAAACAATACTCCAATATTTTCAGACACTGCTCTGCATTTGATTTTCCAGGTCACTCTCCCATAATGCCCAAAGGGATGGAGAAGGTTGCCGGGCCCTTCTAACCCTAAATCACAGCCGTCCTTTCACCTGGCTTCCCTAATTTGTGAGACTACAGCCCAGCAGAAGCGGTGACATTTGGCTGGTTGACATGTGGGCAGATGGGCGTTTGAGCTGCCAGGGATCATCAGGGTGTCGCCACAGCCCAGGAGGCCGCACATAATTTAGCCACAGGAAATGGGAGAACAAAGTGAAAGGAAGCCATGTGTTCTGTTCCCATTGACCCTTTGGGACTTGGAAATGATTCTCATCAACAAGAATGTCTTCTCTGGTTCAGCTTAAGACTGTCCCTGTGTCCACGTGCATGGCTCCCTTTGGGTGGGAGCTGCCCTTTTGAGCTATAGAAAAAAAAAATGGGGAAATCAATGCTTAGGGTTCCTGCTTGAAGTACCTTCCCATTTATTTATTTTTTAAAAATTATTAGTTTGTAACCAACTGTGACTAGTAATAATCAGATATTTAGAGATTAGAAATGCATGTGCAAACATCCAATGTCAATTGCATTGAAAAAGAATTTTTCTGTATGAAACTGTGTATTTTAATAATGAAATGGAGATCTTTTTCTAGCATCCACATTTGTAATTCCAGTTGCAGGGGATTCAATGCCCTCTCTGGACTCCATAGGCACTGCACAACGTGGGTATATTTATAGACATGCAGGCAAATATATTGTTATTAAATAAATAATTTTTAAAAATTAAAAAAAAATTATTAGTTTGTGTATGTATGTATGTATGTGCGCATGTGTGAGAGCACATGTGACAGCTCCTCTCAGGAGTCTGTTCTCTCCTTCCACTGTGGGTTTTGGCGACTGAACTAAATCGTCAGGCTCTCCTTGACATTCTGTTACCCATCGAGTTGTCACTGGGCCCCATTTCATTTCTATTTTTTACTTTAAAATATATTTAAAAAAATTTAAATTTAATT